ATCATACGTCGTCTAGCTCCTACAATACACACACCTATACTGGTCTGCTGGTATGTGCATTAGAGCCTTTAATTGCCGTTCTATATTAATGCGCTGCTTACTGACACACACACACACACACACACACACACATATATATATCGGACCGCTACCCCTCCAACCAAAAAAGAATTGAGACACCCCTACCCCTTCACGTGAACGCGCGAAACGGAGGGGTAGGGGAAAGGGGAAGGGCTAAGGGGTAGAATTGGGATTGGGCCTTAGATTGGACAAGACCAACACATCTATGGTTTCCACAGTGACCCCTGACCCTTTCTCAGTGACTCTTGTGATGTCATCAGTGTGATGTTTTAAAAGCTCCTAAACAAATTTCCCAATCAACATAAGCTGGAATTCAGTAACAGAACAATGTAAAACATCTTGTATTGCAGCCATTTGTGATGCCCTCCTTTTCATGCCAACATATTTTTGTGTTCACAGAAACATTGTCAATAACTCAGATTAATGTTAAAGCCATAATGTGCTCCTCAGTTCTTTTGTATTTTGTTTCAGTTATTAAAGAAAAGACTAGATTTAAATTTCCAGAATGCTCCCTTGTGTAGTTTCTTCTTTGACTCAAAGACTGTCAGCAGATTTTTGGTGTACAACTTCACAAGTTGGATAAAAATCCTTGCACAGATGCAAACAAAAAAAAGTCAGACAAAGCTTGAGCAGTCAACTCTGTACCACGTTTGTTACAAAATCTTCTTAAAAGCTTCAGTATCCCTCTGACTCTACCAGAAGAGTCTCATTGCAGAACAGCCACTAACCTCTGTAAATTCTACCCAATGAAAACAAATGACATTCTCACATCAGCAGAGGAAAAAAAATGGTTTCATTCACAAAGGTCTGATCATATGCACAAACTCTGATCTGAAAAATGTACATAATGTCGGTGAGTCTGTAATCTCATGGCTTGATGAACAGGGCGTTTGAGGATTTGCAGCTCGCTGGCTTTGATCTCAGCTTGTCATCTCCAGATGTTTAAAGACTAAAAAAGAAGAGAAGATTTATAGAAGTTCATTCAAATTATTTTAGAAGCCACAGACCGATGTGATCAAGTTTGCAACATGCTAGTGTACCGTAAAGATCATACAGCTCCACACATGGTTTGAAAGGAGTTTTTATAGGTACTGATATTCTGAAACTTTCAAAAGATTCCAAACTTGCCGTCAAAATCAAAATCAAGCTAAAACCATTACAATTGGGACAGAATTGTAAAATATATTTTTTTCCTTTAATATGATCATCTGCCAACTGAAAGCTAACTGAAGGCGTTTGACTGGAAAATTGTGCCAATAAAAATATTTAAAATAGACAATATTTAAATAGTCATTTTGATAAACTTTCCATGCAGGGAAGAATCACTAATTATTTTTCTCAAAACATTTTGCTGAACAACCAATTTAATATTAATTGATAAAGTGCATTTTAAATGTTTTAAGTCAACATGATTCTTTTGTTATTTGGCTTTTTTGTTTTCTTTTTTATTGGTCATGAAATCTGATCTATATGGCTGTTCAAAGAAGAGGATTTGGTGACATCAGGCAAAAAGGTAAGTGGTTTTTAGAGAGATGAAGAAAAAAAAAACATGAATAAAGGAGGAAAAAAGATAACAGTAAGACCAGGACATTTTTTCACCATTTTATTTCCAAAGCAATAAATCAAACTTCTTTTGAACCACAATACATTTTTTTTTCAAACACAAAGAACTCTCCTGATCCATAGAGTATGTTAAACCATGGAAAATAACTTCAACTAAAGTCAAAACTAACTGTGCGAAAAAGGGGAAAACAAGTTCTGTAAACAACATGGTAAACAAATCTTCATATTTACCATTAGTTTAAGTTGGTGCAAAATATCGACGTCTTTAGCCGTTCTCGTGTAATACTCATAATGTGAATTTCATCACATTTCACCAATTATTCTACAGCAACCTCAGTTAATACTTACGCCAATTTTAATGATGATAGACATACAATGTGACATTCTGCCAGCAACATCATCACTTTAAAAGTGTCAGTGGAGACGATCTTTGCACTCGATGCGTGTGCGTGGGTATGCGTTTAGTGAGTGTATACTTGTGTTGTTGTTTTTTTTTGAAACGTCAGACCACAAGTTTACAAGTAGAGACACCAAGGAGCAAAGGGGCAGATCCTTTAAGGCCATTTTTTGAATTATGCCCAAAGTAAACGGCATGGCGAAGTCCATTTCTTTTTGAGCACTGTAGTTTGAACTAGCTCCTCTATCCGGTCTCTGGTAAGGGCGACGGGTGAGTGAAGAGGGGGGCAAAAAGGAGGGGGAAATCGGGCTCGGTGGGGTAGTTGCCTCCTCATGCGTTTTGTTCTAAGCAGTCTGTGAGGGCAAAGGTCAGGACTGTTTTAGCCGTTTCCTAGGCAGACCAAAAGGGGTGCACTGGGCTGAAGCGAGAGCCCGGAATGCCTCGGCCACTAAGTGAGGATGGGACTGAATCATCGCTTTCCAACCTGCGGTCTCCATTATGTCTGCGGCATGACTGCGAATGAGCAAAAACAAGCCTGAAGGTTACAATCTATAAATGACATAACATTGGTCACGCTGATGAAATGAGTAAATATAATCTGGGATTTTTATTAATTCAGGGAAATCATGCTAATTAAAGGAATGTTCTGGGTTCAAAACAAGTTAAGCTCTATCCACAGCATCTGTGGCATGTGGTTTGTAAAAAGAAATACTGCATATACAGTACAACAATGGTGCAAAACGATCTGGAGAATATAAATGAACAATTTCAACATTAATAAAAAGACATGTTTCTTGAGCATTAGAATGATTTCTGAATTATCATGTGACACTGAAGACTGGAGTGATGATGCTGAAATAGTTTCGATATCAGGAATAAATTACATTTTAAAATCTATTCACATAAAAAGCAGTTATTTCAAATTATAATATTTCACAATATTGTTGATTTACTGTATTTTTGACCAACTAAATTCTGCCATAGGCGAGCATAAAAAGATTTAAAGATCTTTTGAAAGGTTGTGTACAATAAAAAGAAAAAAAAAAATATTATTTTTATATATTTTACTGCTTTAAAAGCTACCCATGGCCTTATGTTACAGTGATTTTACCACAGTTAAAAAGTTTGTTCTGTTACTTTGCTGTCAACAATGCCTAGACTGCATCGAGCCCAGAACATTTTTTTTTTAAACGTGATCATACAACAAGAATGGCAGAAAAATAAAAAAACTCTCCACAAGCTGTGCCATGAATCATTTTGTTTTACGGATATCTTAGTCACATAATTACTATGCAAACTGGAGCTTCCTGTTAAATACAGATGTGTTTGGTGCTTTTTATTTGCAAAGGACTCTGGGAGATGGTAGCATGTTGGCACACATACTTGCTATTCCAGTTCTTCCCATCTTTACAGCCCAGCTGTCTAAGAACACTGCATCTGAGGAAAGAGACCAGAGCAGAATCCAGCCGCCGCTGTCACCATTACATATTCAACAGCCCATCAACTGTCACACAAATAATTACAATTGATATAATTGCCTTTGCTTTAAATCGTTCATTTATGCAAAGTGAAATTGGGACCATACAAAAATAAAAGTATGATTTACATGAAGGCTTGATTGATGGAAGGACCACAAAACCAGTCTTAAGTCACTGGGGTATATTTGTAGCAATAGCCAAAAATACACTGTATGGGTCAAAATTATTGATTTTTATTTTATGCCAAAAAATCATTAGGATATTAAGTACAAATCATGTTCCATGAAGATATTTTGTAAATTTCCTACTGTAAATATATTAAAACTTAATTTTTGATTAGTAATATGCATTGCTAAGAACTTCATTTGGACAACTTTAAAGGCGATTTTCTCAATATTTTGATTTTTTTGCACCCTGATTCCAGATTTTCAAATAGTTGTATCTCGGCCAAATATTGTCTTATTCTAACAAACCATACATCAATGGAAAGCTTATTTATTCAGTTTTATGAAAAATTGACCCTTATGACTAGTTTTGTCGTCCAGGGTCACATTTGTGCTGTAAATTATACCATCATGTATCCTTTTAAAACAGCCCAATTAAACCAGAGTCATTAAATTAGCAAATATTTACAATGTAAATACAATTATGTTTAAGTGTTCGGAAAACAAAGAATTGTAAAGTATACAAAGGATTCTTATAATATTGAGTGAGTGTGTGTACTTGCCTATTAATGAAGTCTATGGCTTGTGCTTTAAGCTGCTCTGCGCTGTGCAGGTCAGCCAGAATGAGGATGTCAGCCACATTCTCTACAGACAAACTGTTACAGAGAGCCTCCTCACATAATACCTTTAATCTTTCCAGAGCATACTAAAAAGAAAGAGAAGAAAACAAGCTGCAGGTCAATCACAGGAAGTGTTAGTTCACACATAACAGCAGCAGGAACGCAAAACAAAAGCACTTTTTCTTCAGAGCAGCAGCGTCTTACTTTGTCTGCAGCAGCTAACAGGTTGTCGGCCATTTTCTCCAGGTTAGGAGCTTTACCAGTGTAAATAAATACCATCATTTCCCTAAATACATCCGGTTCAACATCGCTGATGTCCACACGGTTCTGTGACGGGGTTGAAAAAAAATTACAATTCTAATGAATTAAAGATCTGATTTAGAATTATAGTGTGTAATAATAGTGTGTGTAAAATAAATAAATATGTATGTCTATTGTTTATTTTACACGCACTGTTACTACATACTATATTACATTATATAGAGAAAATTTCTAGATTTTTATAAAATTTTACACATTATATGTGTGCGTTTTTTTATTATTATTTTGTAATATATACACTCACTGCCATTCAAAAGTTTGGGATCAGTACGATTTTTTATGTTTTTCAGTGGAGTCTCTTATGCTCATCAAGACCAAAAATACAGAAAAAAAACAGTAATATTGTGAAATATTGCAGTTTCTAATATTTGTTTTATGAATTTAATATACTTTAAAATATTTTTTTTCTGTGATGCATAAACACTGTTCTTTTTAACTTTTTTATTTATCAAAGAATCCTGAAAAAAAGTATCACAGGTCACAAAAAAATATGAAGCAGCTCAACTGTTTCCAACACTGATTATAAATCAGCATATTAGAATGATTTCTGAAGGATCATGTGACACTGAAGACTGGAGTAATGATGCTGAAAATTCAGCTTTGCATCACAGGAATGAATTATATTTTAAAGTATATTAAAACAGAAGACTGTTATTTTAAATTGCAATATTATACAAAATTACAGTTTGTTTCTGTATTTTTGATCAAACAGATACTGCCTTGATGAGCATAAGAAACTTCTTTAAAGAAATTGTACTTATCCCAAACTTTTGAACGGCAGTGTATTTTATAATATAATTTGATTTTATAATGTTATTTCAATAATGAAATAAAGAAAAATGTTTAAAATAATTAAATAGCCTAAAAATAATAGTTTAAAATTATATTAAATATTATTATTACTACATATATTAGAACTACTACAATTCTAAAATGTAGTAAACCTTAATTCTAAAGAATCAAGGGTAGGTTTGTCCATTTCTGACTGGTAGTGTACATCTTATCACTTACTTTTTTACTCTCCTCCATTTTGTGTTCAAACATGGCATTGAATACGGGAGACCTCGCTGTCAAAGGAAACATGAATCATCAGTTTCAAGTGAATCATCTGTGTGCAAAGTACTGCCAAATTCATCATGTGCCTCATTAACATTCTCTATTGTCTGTGCAGCTTGTCTTTTTAGCAAGGCAAATCTGGGTCTACCCCAAACGTCTGTCAATGGCGTGTTGGGATGACTAAGCTCACCTGCCAGTATGGATTTGTGCGCTTTGAACTCTTGCCCTCCCACGAACAAGCTGCAGTCTGTAAATCTGGAGCCTTCCCACAGGTTACCCAGGTCGTCGGAAAGCTGACACTCCGGAACCTTCAGCATGTTTGTGTTTGACTGGCCAGAGATGTTTACGGAGTCTTGGACCACACTCACCTAAACAAATGAGTCACTGGTTTGAAGGAAGCGCATTATTACACCAAAACATTGAATATACATGAAACCTTACATGTTACGGTACCTCACAGAACAGAGTGAGCTTGTCATCAGGAAGAAGTCCATTAGCTTCATCCAGCAAGAAATCTCTCCTGATGAACTTCTTGAAGCCCCAGTCCTTTCCCTGGACGAAGCGGTAGGCTCTTTGGCTTTCTGAAGTGTGGGGAGAAAAAAAAAAAAGTATTAATACAAATAAGACATTTGCTATTCCACATTACCAAACTCAATCCTGTGAACGTCTGGGGTTGCAAAAGGGCAGAACATTTCTGGAAAGTTTTCAAATGTTTTAGGAAATCATCCAGGATTTTTTGGGGAACTTTCAGAAACTTTTGGACATTTTGAGAAATTTTGGAACCCAATGAACATACAGAAAGCTCTTACCCATGGCTTTAGTTTCTTCTCTTTTGGCGTTCAGTAAAGAAAACTTGAACTTTGCTCTCACTTCACTTTTTGGGCAACTGACAAGCAATAAGTACAGAGAGAGATAATCTTTACTCTCATCATCCAGACCCTTTGGGTTCACTCGCAAACACCTGCAGAAAAAAATTCAATAAATAATAGGAGCGCGTGTTAAAAAAAAATGTCAGCATTACAAAAAATTTAAAATAATTTATAATAATTAGAAAACACTATGTATCCATATGCAATAAAATGCTAAGATGTTTTGTGTTTTTGGAAGAAGTCTCTTATGCTCACCAAGGCTGCATTAATTTGATTAAAAATACAGTAAAACAGGAATATTGTAAAACATTGCTACAATGTAAAATAACTGTTTTCTATTCGAATATATTTTAAAATGTAATTATTTCTGTGGTGGCAAAGCTGAATTTTCAGCCATTACTCCAGTCTTCAGTCTCACAGAAATCATTCTAATATGCTGATTTGCTGCTCAATTATCATTACCAATTATTAATAATGGTTCTTATTATTATCAATGTTGAAAACAGTTTGTTGTTTAATAGTTTTGTGGAAACCTTTGTCACTTTTGATCAAATAAATGCCGACTCTCTCTTTCAACAACAACAAATAAAAATCTTTAATTATTCCAAACTTTTGACCGGCAGTGTATTATGTAAAGATCTATTTTTTTTAAACCAGTGAAATAGCATGTACAACGCTGCTTCTGAACAACCCTAACCACACAATTCTGTAATTTGGCAACCAAAAGATGTTATATGACTCATAAATGTGTAATTTTATTGGCTCTTCAGCCATTTTTTAGTCTGGCGACGGCCGTCGTAGGAGCAGTCAACAATTGCAGTACTGCTAGAGTCAGATCTTCATCAGAGACAAGATTCATCGTAAAGCAATTAATCAGCTGTCAGTGACAAAAGAAATCTTTTGCGAATCTCAAAGTTTGTCCCAGACGGCTCAATGAAAACCCAACCTAAATCAAAATGGGCCACTGTTGTTTCACAAACACTGATATTTGGAAAGGTCAAGCCTGTATTCGTGGGTGTATGTGAGTGTGTTTGGCTGGGCAGGATGGTGAGGCATTACAGAGAAGAATTAAAGGGGTCATATGATGCAATTTCAATTTTTCCTTTCTCTTTGGAGTGTTACAAGCTCTTGGTGCATAAAGAAGATCTGTAAAGTTGCAAAGACTAAAGTCTCAAATCCACAAAATAATGTTCTTTTTATCAACATCATATGACCCCTTTAAGAGGCCGCTTGAGAGCTTTCGACAAACACTCAGAAAGCGATGAAACACACCATTTCATCTTGTCGTTGGGGCCTGAGGAGAAGGTCGAGCTCCTTACGACTTCTCCCATCTCCTCCCGACAGAAGCTGAAGTTGTTAATCGTCCACATGTAAGAAAACTTCACAACTTTCACCTGTAGATACAAATAAAAAAAAGAGGGATATTTATGACTGACATTCTCCACTCAGAACGATTCATTTTCCATTCAGCCAGACTCTCTAACCTGTGTATAACACCAGCTTTCCGCCACAGGTCCTGATGTCATTTCCCCTGGGGGAGGGGGTGTGGGAACCCGTGACATGGCCTGCTTTCCCCCTTCCACGTCCCTGATTTAGCTCACTGCTCGGCCTAAACACAAAACCAAGACAAAACTGTGCAACTATAGTCAAAACAGGTCAGTGAGTCAATATGATTTCCCAATACGAGAACTGGTTACAATCACAAGGCAGCTCTCTCAAACGTCTATAAATAATCACAAGTGAGGTACACTATTAGGTCAAAGTTTATATAGAGTGGTTGCTAACACCAAATGCAGTCAATTATACCTTTAGCCTACAAAGAAACTAGACTTTTGCAATTACTGAAAAAAGAAAAAACACTGCATTTACATTTATTCATTTATTATCAGATGCTTTTATCCTAAATTAATTACAAATGAAGAATACAACATACGATAAGGTGTTCAGGGTGATTTATAGACATAGAAAAGCCACAGAACACCTCTCCTCAAGATTTGAGGCATCAAATCATGTGGCTTGTTACATTTCTAATGTTACAGTACTGTAGAAAAGTTTGGGGTCTGTAAGATTTTTTGTAAATAAGTCTTTATGCTCATTAAGGCTGTATTTATTTGACAGGAAATACCGTAAAACAGTAATATCATGAAAATTATTATTATATCGTAAAATAGAAGTTTTCTATTTTAATACATTTAAAATCGAAATTTATTCATGTGATGCAAAGCTGAATTTTCAGCATCAGTACTCCAGTCTTTGGAGTCACATGATCCTCCAGAAATCATTCTAATATGCTGATTTGCTGCTCAAGGCACATTTCTTATTATTATCAATGTTGAAAACAGTTGTGCTGCTTAAACTTTTTTGTGGAGACAGATTGTTTGTAGATTATTTGATGAGTAGAAAATTCAGTAAACATCACTTATTAAAAAATAATAATAATTTGTAACATTATAAAAATCTGTCACTTTCGTGAAGTGAAAGTGTTCATTTCTTTTAATAACAACAACAACAACAACAAATCTTAGTGACCCTAAACTTCTGAATGATACTGTAGATGCCATAGTTAAGAGAAACAGATGATCAGCACAAACAGAGTAATACAATGAGAATAGATAATGTCAAATAATACCTTGTGTTCAGAGATCAGCAGGTTGTGTTTCCATGTCATCCCTGGGCTCAAGCTCAGAGACACAGCCGTCAGAGTGACTGGAAACAATGACTAACAGTGCATACTGACCTCAGCCTCGAAACAAGCCATCCTAAACACAGACGCACAATTAACCAAACATGCATCCATGTCGTGAAAATCAGCGAAACTCTACAGCATTTACCTTCACTTGGAACATAAAAACACAACAACATATACTACTTCCAAAATATTCCGAAAAAAAAAAAAAATCAATCAACCAGCAGTTTTACTTCCAAAATATTCCGAAAAAAAAAAAAAAATCAATCACCAGCAGTTTGCAAGAATCGCAGAAAGGAATGCAAGCAATATGATAAACTCATAATAATATTATTTCAGCTGTAAATTTGTTTATAAGTAGAAAACTATTGTTCTATGTGAATGGATCTGCTAGTTATTAGTCACTTAACTAAAATCTGTGAATGTTGCCATGATGTGATCATGCAAACTGATTTCACTGGGACTAGTTTTCATATTTAGATATTGTGAATGTATGGAGATTATGACCAGCCTTACGTCATCCTGATAACACAAAAAAATGGATGCAACTTTACCTAGGCAAGAGCAGCAAACAATTCTATCACTATTATGTACAACATCTTATAATCTATCAACACCTATAAACACTATATATTTTAATGTTTATTTTCTGGCCCCCATTTACTTCCATTGCAAACCTGATGAGATGATTTATTGATTAATTTACTGTGGTGATCAACCATATGCTACAAATGCAGTCAATTGAGTTTAACTTGTATTGGATGAAACATATTAGTGGGTACATGACAAATCAGAATTCACCAATCTCTACAATCCAGTCATCATTTAACTCGTCTACACGCCACGACTGACCTCATGGAAAAACGCACACACTCACCTCAGTAAGAATGCTGAATCTCACTTGTGGGAGTTTTGCGAGCCTTCCAGAGCGGCGAGCTTGGCAGATGAGGGCAGTTCTGTGGGATGCCACTCTCAGCAGAGACTCAATGAACCCTGGCAGGAATAACAGCATTTTAACACCACATCTACACTGGCACAGCAGCAAGTTCTGTCCCCACTGTTTTGCAGCCTACACTTCTGACTACAGACAAGTGACATCATAACGCTGATATGGGCATGTAAATGTAGGGTTGGGTGAACGAGATGATCTAGAACCAGCTGAAAAAACGAGTGGGAATGTTCTGTCATCCAAGAACGTGCAGAACACAGCAAAAAGTGCAAAGGACATCATGACGTTTGCTTAAATGATGCAGAGCACAGGAAGGGACAAGCCAATTGTAAGAGAGAACATCAAATCTAAAACAGACACAAAATACTTAAAATACATAAATGAAAAAAATCATTGCAGTGCCCCTAATGTTTCAACGGCCAATGCCAAATTCTGGAGCGTGGCGGATGGCTGATATAATGACAGATACAGTACAACTTAAAGAAAGTAAAGTGAGATGCACATACCATAGATGAAACGAACCATTATTTAATAGAATACTTACTCAAGTCACAAAAATTGGGTGAAAGAATTTGTTTTGTTTTTGTAACTAAGGCTAAAGGCTGCTGGTAGAATTTGGAACAGAATAACTTCAAACAGGAAGAACCCTGTGTTCAAGTGGACATGGCTATTGGCCAAAACAATTTATCTCTAAAAATGTTTAAAATATTGACCATGATTCAGCATATCACCACTCTTAAGACTATTACAGGAAAGCCTCAAAACATCAAATGTTCTCTCCATCTTCAGTTACAAAGACAGTCAGGATATTGTTATTGTATCAACTCTCTAGCCATTGTCAGCAACAAAAATCTCGCTTTTCCCCCTTTTCCTGTTTCAATTTAGGAGCTTTGTTTTTCTTTTTTCTAAAATGGTGCTGTACAAAATAAACTTAATTTGAAATTTCATTTGAAATAATAATAATAATTCATATTCGAAAGAGAAGTTCTCGAATTAATTTGTCGTTGAGTTGTCAATCGAGTCCGAAAGAGTCGGTTCTCGATGACCAATACGCTCATTTCGAGTGAATCCGAATCCCAAACGATTCCGTAATCGCGAACAAACCGGAACAAATTTTTTGAGAACCGGATCAATCGACTCACTAATAAGATCCGACTCAAAAGAGTGATTCATTCGCGAATCGGACATCGCTGTAATGCGCCACGAAACCAGCCCCATCCGTCCCAAGTTTGTGTTATAATTCGATAACCGCGTTTCCTACCGCGTTCGAGCAAGTTTGTACATACATGTGAGCGCCGTACAGTTGTCGCCTTTGCGTTAGATCCGATTGCAGTGCAACTGATGCGGAAAACGAAGAGAAAAAGTGTCAAGAATCCAAGTTAGCAAACCAAGGCTCGTCTCGTTTGGCCTACATTTCATGCACGGCCCAAACAAGAGACAGAACCATAACAAAGCCGAGTCAACAATGCTGCTTTACGGCCAAAACAAAGAAAGATCCTTCTACTAAACCCCGCACGAATCTGATTTGTTTGTGCCAAAGCAGCACGTAATGGTTGTAGATCGAGTAAGCATCTGTCTTTGTGTCAGTGCGCAGAGCGGTGGTTAAAATACAGGAAAAATAATAATGTTACAAACCTCTCAGACACTCCGCATCACAGACATAGAAACACGGTGCGATATGTGACCTGAGTGAGTCGTAGAAAGGATTTTGTGCGAAACGAGTGAACTTTTGAGCCTTTCTCTACAGATAAGGGGTGTTTTTCTCTCTCTCGTCTCTCATAGCGCTGTCTGCGCTTCAGCTCTATGCAGGCGCACTGCGCATGCGCACACAACTTCCTCTCAAACCATCAGTTCTAATAACAAGCGCAGTTAGTTAGCAGCGTACACTAAATTCTAATGGCTAGAAATGCGATTTACCACTACTGATGGGAGTAATTATCCCGTTTTTAAAAGTAGGCCAGCTTCCAAGTCTCCGATAAGACATGCATCTACATTTGAGTACTTGTACATTTTATGAAGCATTGCAAAGTTACTCTAAACTGCATAGCCACTAGCACTTCCCATAATGTGAGGCCTGGCACGAAGACGCGAACCTACATTAGATAGATGGCAGATATAATAGATTGAAACTATAATATATTTATGTATTTTAATCACTTGCATATAAACAGATACTACTGTGATTTAAGTAGCCTAGCTAAGATTTACATAGAAACTTGAAGAAAATAACTCTTCCCTCAGATTTGTGACAAAATAAAGTTACTCTTTTGGGGAAGTATATGTTTATGACTGGGCACAAGCGTGATATCTAGTTCCCCCTTCCCCACATAACCAAACTTAAGTGTCACTGCAGGTTGACTAAAATTAATTTTTTTCCTACTTCATCATTATAAACTCGTAGCATGCTGATCGTATCATGTCTGTAAGACGGAATGAAATACCCCACGATATATATCATCATTTGATATCATGGGAGAAGATAACAGTATTTTTGCAGGGGCTGTTGTAATGGTAATGATCCTCAACAAATCCAGGCTATCACTCAATGAAATATGAAAGGCATCCTTTAAGCCAAGGGAGATATACAAGGAAATAATAACAGATGAAAAAGTGACTTGCAGATTTGAATGGTTTAAAAAAACTATTATTTCTGTTAAAAGATATGAGCTCATCGTCTGTGAATTAAAAGCCGTCTCACTTGCTTCATTACCATGACAAAACCTGAGTCTCAATGCCCTGTGACCTGCTGCATGGCACTATCAATGTTTGAAAGTAAGAGGATTATCAACTAAATGAAAAAGATGAGAGTGGCTGAACTGGTATTTGTGTGGAAAAATATTCTATTATCAAGCGCAGAGAAAGTTTAATAAAAGGCTTTTATAATTCAGTGTCAGTGGTAAAATGTAGAGCTGGATTACATGTACAACAGCCTTGCATACAAATCATTATATTAAAAAATACAACAGGGCTTTGTTTACAATAGGGATCTTGGTTTACTATCTTAAAAATAAAGGTTCCAAAAGGGGGTTTCGCAGCAATGCCATTGAAGAACAATATTTGGTTCCCATTCCATGGATGTTAAAGGGTCTTCATGGAACAGATGCCAATAAAGAATTTCTAAGACACTGTACACAGTATGGTAATGGTAATTTTAACAATAAAGAATGTAAAAATTCTAAACCTTAAAGGATTAGTTCACCCAAAAATTAAAATTACCCGCATGATTTACTCACCCTCAAGCCATCCTAGGTGTATATGACTTTCTTCTTTCAGTTGAATACAATTGGAGTTATGTTAAAAATGTCCTGCTTTATAATGGCAGTGACTTAAATAAAGTGCATAAATCCATCATAAAAAGTGTTCCACACGGCTCCGGGGGGTCACAAATTAGAAGTACAAAAAGGGGATTTGTAAAGAAAAAGGTCAGATTTCGATATAAGCCAAGAGGAGACTGGCTTTCCTTTGCTGTAAACAAAACTTGGTTCTCGCGAGACAAACATATTCTCACTGGAGCTTACAATACGCCTTACATCTTTTAAATATTGATATTATTCTTACACAAATGCATCGATTTACTTCAGAAGGCCTTTATGATGACGTATCATGTCTGCGCAAACAGGGTGCACAGAGGACAGCCTATCATAATGTTCGGACCGAACATTTTGATTGGACAAAGTTTTTTGGGTTTTATGCCTTCCACAGATGATATAAATACATATAAACACATTTAGACCACTTATCTTAATGAGTGCTATCGAGATGTGAAGAGACTTTCAACCAGCATAACAAAAAAGGTTTTTGAACCAAATCACCTACCCTGCCTTAGTCAAGTCAATATGAACTACTCTTAAAAATAAAAGTACTTCATTGGTGTTGACGGTTCCATGAAGAACTTTTAACATTCATGAAACCTTTCCATAGCACATAGTGGAAGCAAGTTCTTTAGATTCTTTAAATGTTCTTCACACTAAAAAAAAAATGGTTCTTTTGAGAACGGTTCACTGAAAGGTTCTTTGGAGAACACAGAAGGTTTCTTCTGTGGCATCATATAGCGAAAACCCCCCTTAGGAGACTTTATTTTAAGAGTGCATTTTCTAAATGCATGTTACCGATGTTACTGTGAATCATTTATGCAGGCATGTTTTATTTATTCTCATTTTTAATACTTTTAATCATGTAATTTTAATCAAAATATCACAACTCAATCTTACGGTGAAATGAGATGAATAACTGAGTCCCCGCCCTTTTTTTTTTCTTTTACGATAATGTCACAAAATGGTAGAAGAGATTTGTAGCTACCTCTGTTTCACTGTGACATACATCACTATTGCCAAAAGTATTGGGACACCCCCTCTAATGAACAGTTTTGACTACTTTAGTCATTTCCATGATTACAAATCTTAATATTTAAACATAAATTTATATTCTAGTGAATTGTGTGCTTTTAATTTTATAGCAACAGTTCTGCCACTGTGTATGTAAGGCAAGGTTCAAAAACAAATGATTGATTGAGTGTGGAAGACTGAAATGATTGAAATGAGTGTGGAAGAACTTGACTGGTCTGCAGAAAGCCAAGTCCTCCTAATCCCAGCTGAACACCTCTGGTGTGACTTTAAATGCAGACCTTGAGCCAAAAACTCATCACCAAACACCAATGACTTGTACTAACTACACTATATGGACAAAAGTATTGGGAAACTCCCCCTTCTTTAGAAGAGAAAAATGTACTTCCAAAACTGTGGCAACAAAGGTGGAAACATAATTCATCATACATAAACATAAATAATTTATTTTTGAACGTTACCTTATACACAGAGGCATTGTCATGCTAGAATAGAAAAGGGTCCTGTCCAAACTGTTGCTATAAAATTAGAAATACATAATTCCCTAGAATATCATTGTATGCTTAAACATTAAGATTTGTACTCATGGAAATTACTAAAGTAGTCAAACCTGGTGTCCAAAAACTGTATATTTAAGACAATACATACTTGTGAATGTAAAATATTGTTACGATTTGTTACAATGTTGTTATAATTATAGTGGTTTTCAGTAATATTATAAGGTATAAAGCAGAATGTAGTAGTTCAAGTATACAGTTATGAAATGTAAAATATTCAGGTAGCAAAATCTTCCCTGAAGTACCTGAAAAGTTTTATTGTGTATTTTTATAATCCACAGCTGTGAGTTTAGTTTTTCCCCCCGTCAATTAAAAGAAATAATAATACTAAAAGAAGGATACACGAGAGAGAGAAAAAAAACAGCTCTATGATCTTGCTGCACAGTGTCTCTGTTGAGTTTACCCCTCTGGCTCTCCCAATTATGAGACAAATTCCCTGTCAGGTAGTGGCACATGAGACTGACAGAAAAGATGCTTGATCACGTTTTTCAATATCAGTTTTGCTGTTACATCAATAATAGCTTGAACGTTTTATCATAATTGAGAATTTCTTTGTTTGGGTTTTTCTGTTAAAAGCACTGCTGTTAACACACAGGGAAACAGCTGTTGGCCAGTTTCATCAGCCTGAAATGCTGCATCAAACAGTGCATTTTCACGATGTACGAGTATGCAGATAGACACATTTTTCTGGCCTGCGTTTCTGTTATTATTAGTGGTGCATGCAGCGCCAAGCATTCTGTTGCTATTCCACAGTGATTTGAACAAATTGGTGGAATATAAAACAGGTAACAAAAAAATTAAATAAATACATAAATAAATAAATCAAAAATCAATAGACTGACTTTTCAGAAATTTTCAGATGCCATGTGAGGTTGCCAGTTAATTACTGCAACCGAAAAATAATGTAAATTAGATTTTAGACATAGGCCTATTAGCCATTTCTGGATCAAATGCAGAGACCACACTGTAGCCTACTTCTCCATTTTGAATAAAATATATTTTTACTTATGCACTACTATTAACAGATCTTTTTTTTTCTGTTTTGACAAAAAGCAAAATAGTTCACAGTAGATTAGCTGAGCTGGTTTCAGTTGCAGCACGCTCCTACAAAGTACCCCCTGGCAACTAATGTCTTAAGAACTCCAGAGCTCTTACAGCTAATCATCTGTCATAATTAACTTCATTGTTTGAGTTCTGAATTCTAATCCGGGAAATAGTAATGAGTTTTAAAACCTTTGGCAACAGAGAGAAGGATGGAGAGAGATACGGGGGAAAGGATAGAGAGAGAAAAGTGATCACCAGTGAAACACCCGGTCTATAATTGGGGATTCCACAAAGTCAAACTACACAGACCTTTTTTTCGAGTGAAAGATTCATTCATGTCATCTCTCTTGAGTTTCTAGTTTCTACAGAATGATCACAAGGCCAAAAAACAGAAATACAACTGAAGAGTTCAGATGCAAAAGCCTCTAAGTGCCGTCTGAAATATTCTTCTGAAATGAGCATTTTTCTCAGCTCCTATGCTGTTCAGTTATTTCACTTTAATGGCAAATAAAATAACCTATTCATTGCCATTAAAGTGAAATTACTGAACCTACACACATAGAAGCCTGATAAAAATGCTCATTTTAGAAGAACATTTCAAACAGCACTTAGAGGCTTTTGCATCTGAACTCTTCAACTAGTTTAGTGAAACA